CAAGGTTGTGGTGGTGAAGAAAGCACAAGAATCAACCAACCTTCTCCTTGAAGACTCAGGCTTCTAGATTGGCAAAGAAATTATATATATGATGTCCGTTTGGTCAATCAATGTCTGACCACATATATGTCCATGGTCCGTAAGTTCAGAAATCCCGATCGGAGTGAAGGTAATCAGACAAAGCAAATGCAACAGCTTCCCCCATGCAACACGTGTACCTCATGTCCCTTGTATACAAAGTGAATGCACTGCCAGGCACTCGTTTGTTATTACAAATCATTGTATGCACCTTGAATTTTTAATATAATAGGCTTTATGGCTGTTGGTTCATGACTAGGGGTTGTACGTAGGTAATTCGGATGTTGTTGACCCAGGGACTGATTGTATATAATATGGTGTTCACATAACATCCAAATCACATATGTCCTATTTCACAGAATATACCATGGACGTTAAGTGACACGTGACTGTATATGATTATTTAGGAGGCTTGGTGATCCGGTGGATAAGCGTTCGGCTGTTAACAGAAAGGTCAGTGGTTTGAACCCACTGGCCACTCTGTGGGACAAAGATGTGGCAATCTGTTCTCATACAGCCTAGGAAACCCTATAAGGCAGTTTGTTCTACTCTGTCCTATAGAGTCACTATGAGTCAGCATTGACTTGATGGCACACAACAACAACATATGATTATTTAAGGGAAATGAGAAGTCCTAGGTCCAATGGGGAAATAACTCCTTAGCTTCCTGCTCTGATAATATCTTTCCAAGGCTAAACATCTTAGTGGCAGTTCCAGCATTGGAATGGCTTATTGTATATGCTGGAAGGCAGTAGGATAAGGTAAACGCAACTGCTTTCAGAAAGTCTTGGTCAGCATAAAGTCATGGGTCTGGGACAGACTAGATGTAGCATTAACAAGCAAAACAAAAACTACAAACTCAGAAGCTCAAGAAGGTAACAAACTCAGACTTCCAGGTACAAGATAGATTTTTTACATGATGAGCCTCTCCCACCTATATGGAACTCATTGATGATGTCTGCTCAGACAGGCATGGCTTAGAAGCTCCTCCCATAATCTGCTCCCTGCCACCCATTCCAGCTTCCTCTCATGCCACTCTCTCCCTTTCTCTCCAAACTTCAGCAGCTATATTGGCCTTCTTTCAGTTCCTCATGTACTCTAAGCTCTGATTCCTAACTGAATCTCAGAAGTTCTGCTTCTACCATAGCCAGTAAGATCCTACTGGACTTACCTTCCCACAGTTAATAACTATCAACTCTGGACAAAATACAAAAATAAATTATATAAAAGCACTGGAGAGTGTACAAAACCAAGCAGATTCTGGAGGAGAGTAGACATTTAGAAGAAAGGAACAACATGGGGTGAGTTCCTCATTTTTTATGGCCTTTAGTAGGCCAGTCAGCACTGTGGGGTTGAGGGAAAGCAGCTAAAACTCCAATTCAAAACCCTGCAGTCTTTTTAGACTGAAGAACCAAAGGAGAGATAGAAAAATTTGGGAGCAGATAAGGGTGATGGTTGAACAACAAAATGAACATAAGTTAATGTCACTGAACTGTACATGTGAAGAATGTTGAAACAGCAAATGTTTTGTTACACACATATTTACCACAATTTTTTTAAAAAAGAACGAAAGGACCAAAGGACAGATTTTGGGGCAACCACAGCCACTGAAAAATGAGGGGACAAACTTAAAAAAAGAAAACCAGAGAAGGCGGGCTCCAAATTCTGTGTATAAACTCTGCCCAAATTTCTGGCTGGCTCCTGAATCACACAAGTGCCAGAAAAACTGCAAGCAGCCCTGCTAAGGGTAACAGAACTGAACCGAGATTTGAGTTGCTGCCCACTGTAAGTAAGAGAGAGTTTTTAGTTTGAATTTAACTAAATTAACTACGTACTGAAACAAAAATGTCAATACACTTTGGAGGAACAGGATAGAATGCAGAGTCTCCTCAGCATAACATTCATGGAACACAATCCAAAATTACTCCACATTGAAGAAAAAGGAAAACGTGGACTATTTTAGAGAGAACAAACAATCAACAGAGATTGACCTTGAAATGTCCAGACGCTGGAATTAGCAAACAAGGATTTTATACAATGCTCAACAAAATAAAGGAACATATGCTGATACTGAATAAAAAGATAGGAAATTTCAGCAGAGAAATAGAAACTATATAAAAGAACTAAATTCAAATTCTAAACTTGAAAAATATCTAAAATAAAAATTTACTAGATAGACTTACCAGCAGAATAGAGGTAATAAATGAAAAAGTCAGTGAACTTGAAGAGAGATTAATAGAAATTATTCAATCTGATAAACAAAGAGAAAAAAAATAATGAACAGAGGGACCTGCAGGGCAATATCAAGAGGTCCAAGACAGGAGTAACTGAAGTTCCAGAAGGAGGGGTGAGAGCAAATGAACCTGAAAAAATAATGGCTGAAAATTTCCCAAGTTTTGTAAAAGACACAAATGTACATACTCAGGAATCTCGGTGAACCGCAAGCAGAATAAATACGAAGAAAATCACATCTAGGCACAGCATAGTCAAATGTTTAAAACCAAAGATAAAAATAAAACCTCAAAAGCAGCCAGATAAAGTCACTACACTGCATACAGGGGAACAACGATTTGAACGGCCACCATCTTCTCATCAGAAACAACGGAAACCAAAAGATAGTGGACATCCTTAGAGTGCTGAAAGAAAAACCTGTCAGCCCCAAATTTTATACCCAGCAAGAATATTCTTCAAGAATGAAGGCAAAATAAAGGGATTTCTACATTAAACAACAAAAACCAAAAACTAACAGAACTCGTCAGCAGCAAATGTGGACTGCAAGAAATACTAAAAGAATTTCTTCAGGTTGAAAGGAAATTACAGCAGATGGAAACTTAGACCTTCAGGAAGGAATGAAGGGTATAAACCAAAAACCAAACCGCTGCTGTTGAGTCGACTCCGACTCACAGTGACCCCATAGGACAGAGTAGAACTGCCCCATAGAGTTTCCAAGGGGCGCCTGGTGGATTTGAACTGCTGACCTTTTGGTTAGCAGCCATAGCTCTTGACCACTACACCACCAGGGTTTCCAGTGAAGAATATAGGAAACAATAAATATCTAGGTAAAAAAGATTGTTATTTTTGTATTAATTTTTAAAAGTATAAATGCAAATTGAAACCATAAGGAGACACATTTATATACCCACCAAAATAGCTAAAATTACATTATGAAACATTGGCGATGATGTGGAGTACTGGGAATTCTAATGCACTGAGCATTTATATTGGTACTACCACTCTGGAAAAATGTTTGGCATTATCAAAGTTAAAGGTAGGCATACTCTATGACCCAGCAGTTCTACCCAATAATGTGCTGCATGTGCATAAAGAATCCCTCAAAAAAATATTAAAGAGAAAACCTAAGCACAAACCAGTTTTTGTGAAGCTTCCCAGAGAACAAAAGTGGTTTTCAAAAACTACAAGTTACAGGCAGAGGGTTAATAAGGATAATGATGTCAAGACCAGTACCAAAGGCAATACTTTATAATTGGCAAATAGAAAATGAGAGGGTTAGCAAGTTGTTCTGAAGACCTAAAGATAATATCTTGGAAGACAGGCTAGTGACCTCAATTTGTTTTAAACAATTCTTCCAAATACACTAAAAATAAATAAATAAATAAATAAAATTCTTCCAACTTCTATGTAGGGAATAACAAAGATTCATTGCTGTAAAGTATACCCCAAAACCAAACCCACTGCTGTCGAGTCAATTCAAACTCAGAAGGATCCTATAGGACAGAGCAGAACTACCCCATAGGGTTTCCAAGGAGCGGCTGGTAGATTTGAACTGTCGAACTTTTGTATATATATATAATTTTATTTAAAATTTAGATTCCTATTCCCACACTCTAGTAAGCTGTATAATTTTTGTTTAGAATTTTTCTGCAAACATACTACAATAAGCTTCTTTTATTTGGAGACAAAATACAGTGGCACTACTGGAAGGAATATCACAACATTACATTTTTATCTTAAAGGACAAACTGAACTGCCGAACTTTTGGTTAGCAACTGTAACTCTTAACCACTGCGCCACCAGGGCTCCAATGAACTTGTGCAAAAAGCTAGCAACGAAAAGCTGATATTAAGCCACACTTTGTAACTTTCTAAACTGCACACACGGTTCATCAGCCTGATGGTGCTAATCTTTAGCCACCTAGGTTGTAGCCCAAACATTGTTTTGCAAGTCAGTTGCTTAAAAGTTGGATGCATTTTCTTACAGAAGTAAATTAGATATGAGGTTAGGTTCTGACGACCACAAAAGCTCATTAAATCCACTTTACACTTGAAATACAACAAAAATCACATTACTAAACCCACCACCATGTATAAGAAGGTCTGTAATGTGCCTAATGTTCCATCTAGGATTACACACTCCAGTCTGGGATGTTGGAATACAAGAGACCTCGGGACAAGATCTCCTTTGGAAAGAGTAGGTAGTGTGGTTGGGATGGTATCTGAGGTAAAGAACAAACTAAGAGCTCCAGAGGGTTGGCTCCTCCCTGTGTTCTATTCTGGGCATGCTTTTTCATCCAGCTGTTTAGTTAAAACCAAAACCAAACCAAACCCATCACCATCGAGTCAATTCCAACTCATAGCGACCCTACAGGACAGAGTAGACCTACCCCATAGGGTTTCCAAGGCTGTAATCTTCATAGAAGCAGACTGTCACATCTTTCTCCCTCAGAGTGGCTGGTGGGTTTGAACTGCTGACCTTTTCTTTAGCAGCGGAGCGCTTAACCACTGCATCATAGGGCTCCTGCTCTCTAGTTACTCTCCTTACGTTTTCAACAGTAAAGATACGCCAGGAGAAATAATAATCTTTCATGCATAACTCTTCTTCGCTTGGGAAAGATGGCTTCCATACAGCTGCTTTAGCTCAGTAACTTTTGGTGTTGCCCTGCTTACCTAAGTAGTAATTCTTACCTGTACTTCAACTTGCCGTTCTTTTTTGACATTCAGTAGCTGTTTTTGAAGAGATTTTATCTGTTTTCTTCCTTTCTCCTCGCTAAAGGAAATAAGAATGATTTGTTTAGTGCAGTGCTTCTCAAACTTCAGTGTGCACAAGGATCACCTGGAAGTTTCAAAATAAAACAAAACAAAAACCAGATTCCTGGGCTCCACCCCAGAGATTCTGACTCAGCAGGTCTCGGATGGAGCCCTGGAATCTGCATCTTTAACAAGTTCCTAGATGCTAATGGTGCTAGTTACTGGAGCGGACTTTCAGTAGCACTTATTTAGAAAAGACTGATAAGTTTTAGTAAATTGGAAAGATCTTCCAGCTTATCAGCATTACATCTAAAATAGCTGCTGCTGAGAAAAAGTGAGGAAGAGATGGAACAGGACGAGGAAAAACAAGAATCCTTTCTGTTCTGAACGCTATAATAATTGCATATTTTTACCTCACGATAATCTTATGAGGTGGTCTCTATCATTATTTTATAGATGAGAAAATGTGGCTTGGAGAGCTTAGGTAACTCACTGTGGTGGGGATGAGCATGTCCCCCACAAACCCTCAACTACAGGGAGCGGAAGTGAACAAAGTCCCAGCTGCTGGGCTCTGAAATCCATCACTTCCCTCAGGCTGCTCCCAGCTAATCACTGAGTGTGGCTGGGATTCTAAGGCAGACCCTTTCCTGGAAGACCCAAGACTTCCCTGATGGTCAACTTTGGCTGAAGGACACCCTAATGACCTTGCTGGACCATCCTTAGACTGCATGGCAGTCTAAGATGCTTCCACCCAACTTTCCTTCCCCTTCACTTGGGGTTAGTCTTGCATTTTTACCATATTGTTGATACAGATATTGAGGCCCAGAAATCTGAGTTATTGTGCCAATGGAGCTAAGGATAGAACCCAAATTTTTTACTTCTGGCCATCATCCCTGGAAAGCATACATTTGGTTTGCTTTAGAAATCAAGGACTTTAGCAGTCTCAATTTATAAGCAGTTATAAATTATAAGTCTCAATTTATAAGCATTTTAAAATACAGCAAAGCAAATACGCCTAATATTAAGCCGACCTAGCAATGATATTGTAGAAATGTGTTTTGTTTTCCCTCTCTTTGCCTAAAGTTTGCAGGAGAATGGTGAAAGTGCCTGAATCTTCCAACTCCTGCATGGTGTGTGTAATGACATCACTGAAAAATTGCCTGTAATGGAAACAAAAAAGTCGAGTTAATAAGAGATATTTCCCTATATCCACAAACAGCTGCAGAAGTCATGCAACTTAAGACCCAGAAGGAACACCATAACTAAGTTGGCATTATCCCAGGAATGCAAGAATAACATTAGAAAATCTATTAATATAATTCACCACCTTAATAGGCTAAAGGAGAAAAACCATACGATCATCTCAACAGATGCAAAAAAAGCAACTGGCAAAATTCAACACTCACTCATCATTTAAAGACAAACAACAACAAAAATTCTAAACAAGCTAAAAATAAAAGAGAACTTTCTTAACCTGAAAAAGTTGATATACCAAAACAACAAACATCAAACATATAGGATGATACCATGTATACAATATTAAAAGACATGTAAAACTACATTATATATTGTTTAAATAAAACACACACATATTTAATAAAAGTATCACAACATGCAAGAGAATGACAGACATCAAATTCAGAAGAGTGTTTATCTCTGGGGGAACTGGAATCGGAGGCTTCAATTGTATCTGAAATATTTTACTTCTTAAAAAGAAATTAAGTTATAAAGCAACAATAAAACAAAACAAAAAAACTCGATTCCAACTCTGCCCCATAGGGTTTCCAAGGAGCCACTGCTGGATTCGAACTGCTGACATTTTGGTTAACAGCTGCAGCTTGCTGTAGCTCTTAACCACTGCGCCACCAGGGATCCAAAAGCAACCATACTAAAATGTTAAAATTGGTGGTTGCATACAGATGTGCTCATTATTTTATTCTCTATACTTCTCTATATTTTTAAAATATTTCCTAATTTTAAAAAAGTTAAATAAAAACAACAACCAGAAGTACCTAAACGAACCCACACATTTTAGCGATGAGTAATTCCAGGCTCTGGAAGGATAAATGACCTACCCAAGGTCACATAACTAGTTTGAGAAAGAGCTAAAACTATGTGATCCAGGTTTCCTGACTTCAAGTCCATTGCTCTTTATAACATACCATGCTGTCTCTCTCCTTGGTGAAGAATTAAAAAAACTGCTATTTGGTATTTTGAAACAGAGTTGGTAAGCTTGCTGTTTTGCATAATGATTTGTTAACAATAGTTCACACAAAAGATTCAATATTAAGAAAAAAGTACATTGAAGTCAAGAAACTGAAATATAAGAATTTGAGCACTAAGAATTCATCTCGTGTGTAGTATGTTAGGATAAAATAACATTAAAAACTCTTAATTCAATGCAATAAGGTTATAAGGCATAAAGACAACTAGAGTTTACACAATCTTGCTACAAATTCCTATTCTAAGTCCATAAACTGTTGTCGTTTTTAATTCCTTCAACATTTGGATTTTCACTTTGACTGTGGATAATTGGTGGAGATGTATGTTTCCTGATCATATGTCACCCTGGGTTTTGTGACTGGGTTTTATGCTGAGTATAAATCTAAAACTAATCACCTAAGAATAATCTGAGACTGGTATTTTGGGTCTCTCAGGAAAAGATATAAGCCATCACACTGATAATGAAAAGGACATTAAATAGACTATTATCTACACAAATTTGGGCCAGATTGATTTTAGCAAGCGACATTTAGCAAGGGTCTAATGCAGGGGTCAGCAAAGTTTTTCTGTAAAGGGTCAAATGGCAAGTATTTTTGGTTTTGCAGGCCCTAAGGTCTCTGTTGCAACTACTCAACTCTGCTGTTGTAGCACTAAAGCAGGCATAGACGTTACGTAAACAAATGAGTAATGCTGAGCTCCAATAAAACTTTATTTTCAAAAACAGACTTCAAGCCGTATTTGGCCAGCAGCCCTTGGCAATTGTTATAAATTTATTTACCAAGTCTTTACCTGTTATGGAGCCCTGGTGGCGCAGTGGTTAAGAGCTCGGCTGCTAACCAAAAGGTCGGCAGTTCGAATCCACTAGCCTCTCCTTGGAAACCAATGGGGCAGTTCTACTATGTCCTATAGGGTCGATATGAGTCAGAATCGACTTGAAGGCAACAGGTTACATATTACGCTTTCTTTTAAACTTAATAGGCTTTTTTGTTAGCAATCCAGTTGACAACAAAAAAACTGTATAATGAGACAACAGAAATTGAGACAGCCTCAAGTCAACCCTCAGGATTAAAGCACAGTTTAAAATTTGGCTACTCTTGAGTTTCTGCTGGAGTCAACTGGACGGCAATTGGTTTTGGAGCACCTGAGTTGGAACTGACTTGATGGCAAGGGGTTTGGTTTTTTAGTTAGGTGGTGCAAATGGTTAATGCACTTGTTGCTAACTGAAAGGTTGGAGGTTCGAGTCTACCCAAAGGTACCTCAGAAGAAAGGCCTGGCAATCTACTTCTGAAAAATCAGCCCTTGAAAACTCTGTGGAGCACAGTTCTACTCTGACACATATGGAGTCACCATAAATCCAAGTCGACTTGATGGCAACTGGTTTGGTTTGATTTTCGTCTCTTATCAATGGATGGAGCATCACGATAGCTACCAATTTGTGCCAGGTTTATTTCTAATCCTCACACTAATGTCGAAAGGTTGGTATCATTATTTCCATTAAAAAAAAAAGAGAAACAAAGGCTCAATAACTTGTCCAAGAGCACACAGCTGCCTTACTTTCAGTTGTACCACGATGCCTATCGACAGTCTTCAGTCCTATTAGCGGAACGCACTTTGTATATTATGACTAACCTATAAGACAGGATAGCTACTCTGCCACCCGTGCACCCATTCTCTCATCCATCTATAAAAACATTATTAATTTCCAAATATGCTCTCCTTTCTTACCTATCAATCTGGATTTTCTTCAGTGTCTCCGTAGTCATTATGGTCTGCCTTGTAGGTTTTTTGAAGACAAGATCCTGCATTTTGTTAGAGTCTACTACAAATTGGCCTCCTTGGCTGATTTCTGGAAACTTGAGTCCTTCCATAGGGAAGATTGGACCAGATGTTTTCAAGGTTGCTGAGATCATTTGAGATTTTTCTATACTTTTTCCTTCTAAATTCTTCTCTGTGCTTTTCTTCTAAAAACAATAAATGATGCTTTATTTAAGAAAGATTTTTAATGAGTACTAAGACAAGGGTATAAGAAAGAGGGCCTCTGCCTACATTTTCAACCTCATCTCCCACTTCTACTCTATCCACCAGATGTGCCCTTTTTCCCAGCCATATCAAACCATATGTCCTGCTGTTTTGTGTCTTCCTGCCCTCAAACAACATTCCCTCTCTCTGTCGTTCCCCAACTTACCACCTGGTTACTTTAATTTTTAACATTCTGATCAAAGGGAACCGTCTTTTTTTCTATTAGCAAGTATTTACCATACTGTAATTATTTGTACAAATATCTCCATTAGACTGTGAATTCTATGAGAGTAGGCACAGTGCCTTAGAGATCTTGGTTCACCTCAAATTATTTTTGGAATCAGACTGGATATTAAATAAATGTGTCCATCTTTATATTCCCATTGCTTAGAACAATGCCTAGGATATAGTACAGACTCAAATGTTCACTGAACACATGAATCTGAAATATAAAGAATGAAAGGAGTCTCATACCAAAAAGCAGAAGTTGATAGCAGATTAGTGGTGTGGTAGAGATTTCAAGGGTCTTTTGGAGGAAAAGCCTGAATAATTTCTTTTTCAGACCCAAACGTGAATACTAAGAGGTAGGCATTGCCAAAGGAACAGCATATGTCTTTTATTTGATGATGATTCTTTAATCTGTGGCTAAAAGCTTGAGCTACTGAGAGGCCATATAGTATCTGGCTATTACATGGTGGTTATTATATAGTGGTTCTGCATATGGGCTCTGAAGTCAGACTTCCTGGTTTGAATCCTGGCTCTATCTCTTACTAACCATACTGATTGTACGTAATGTATTTACTTCCCTGTGCCTCTGTTTTCCCAATATGTAAAACAGAGGTAATAACAGTGTCTACCCTCATAGCGGTATTGCAAAGATTAAATGAGTAAATATACATAAGCACTTAGAACAGTATGCCATCATCACAATATAAGTATTTGTTATAATTATGTAAATTCTTGGGCTGGGCCTCTGCACAAAAGAAAGGTTCATCTGGGTATTGATACGTGAAGCTGAAGCCTTCCTTAGCTAAACCTCCACTAGCCCAGAACTGTTAAAAAAAAAAAAAAATTTCCTGAAGGATAATAAATACAGATTCAAGTACATTTTTCTTGATATCAACAATAGGCAAAGATTCACATGTGAGGAAAACGTCTGTAGGCGAGAACAAAACAAAATGCTGCCTTAAGTAAGAATTAATGCGTCAGATATAGTTCTTTAAATTAAGACTGATACGATGGACTAGAAAGAGAACAGAAGCCATAGGATTTCAACAAATAAACTGAAATTTATCCGGATGGAAGGAAAACCATAAATATATAGCTGGCTATTATTTTAGGTTTTGTCTAGGGAGGGAATGGGAGAATTGAGGCTAGGAGCCCCCATTTTTCTGATTTTCTTAGACATTTTTTCTCTACCTTTATGCTTGGGCATCTAGAAAAGAAAGTAAATGTCGCACAGCCTGATTTACTGATTACTAAAAACAAATGTGAATTTTTAGAACTTAAAGAAGCTCGCCAGATAGTCTAGTTCATTCACTAAAAAATATTGCATATAGCACATACTATGTACAGGTTAAGGGATTAGATCTAAGGGAATTCAAAGATAAGAAACACATTGCTCCCTGAGACAGAGCTCTTTCCAAAAGTCAGTCAAAGCATTCCCATGTCTGGTAGAAGCTGGCACTTTAGTATATTTTTCATCATTCCACTCTATGACTGTAAAAAGTGCAAATCTATCCAGACATGTCCTTAGCTGTAAAAAAAAAAAAAAAAGTATAAAAAAGGGATGTTAACCTTTTCTCCCCAGGTTGTCACAAGGCTAAACAACGTGAAGCCATTGGTGAAAGAAATCCACACGTGCATATACTAATATTTTAAAATATATATTCTTTGCCAGAGAGAGCCCTGGTGGTGTAATGGTTAAGAGCTACAGCTGCTAACCAAAAGGTCGGCAGTTCAAATCCACCAGGTGCACCACGGAAACCCTGTGGGGTAGTTCTACTCTGTCCTATAGGGTCGCTATGAGTCAGAACTGACTTGTCAGCAACGGGTCACAGACAGCAATAGCATGTTAAAATTCACGAGTTAGAGCAACTATAGTACTATGAAGTAAAAGACAAAACAAAGATTTTGAAAGAGATTCATCACTTTTAAAAGATATGAAACTAATTTCTAATTTATATTGAGTAAGGAGTTTTTAAACCACTATTGACCATTACAATAGTGCAAACACTTATTATTTATGCAAATCTAAACGTGTAAGTAGGATTTCTATTAAGTCAGAAAATTTTGTGGGTTTTCGATCATTATCATAAATAAAACAGGGCAAAAGTTTCATGTTTTTATTTACTTAGAGTGGCAACTTCTGCTGAACACAGTTATAAATTTGGATTTTTTTCCTTCTCTCTTGAGTTTTTAAAGCTTTTTTAAAGCTTTTAAAAGCTTTTTTAAAGCTCAACAGTAAGTATCACTGATAAAACTGTACCTTGTTAACCGATCATCTCTCTTTTTTATTTTTGATTCTTATTGAAGAAGACCATAAATAGGAAGGAAAACTAGTCTGTTCTGTAGCATATGTTGTTATAGTTGGGGCCCTCAAGTTGATTTTGACTCATAGCAATCATGTAGGACAGAGTAGCGCTGCCCCATAGGCTTTCCGAGGCTGTAAATCTTCACAGAAGCAGACTGCCACATCTTTCTTCCACGGAGCAGCTGGTGGGTTCGAACTACCGACCTTTCTAGTTAGCAGCCGAGTGCCTAACCATTGCACCACCAGAGCTCCTTGTAGTATATGTTAGCTTGCTTAATTTAAAAATCAGACTCATTTTAAATGCATTAAAAGACTTAGTTCCTGGGTTTCCTAATCTATTTGCTTTTCATAAGTTGATGAAGAAATTAATTTATGTTACAAAATTCCTGTAATAGTCATTAATGTCAAATCAGAAAGTTAAGACCAAGAAGGTAAAATGAATTTCTCATAGCACACAACTAAACCACAAAGGTCTCCTGACTCCAAATCCCATGTTCTGTTAAAATTTTAGTTAAACTTTTAAACTTTAATAAAAGCTTTAAGAACCCACGCTATACTTATCATAATAATAGCAATAATAATAAACCTGTAAGGAGCAGTTAAAGCAAAATCTAATTTTCCTCTCACAATAAATACAGGCTTCATTTCTGTTAGCTATGGAAAGCAGTTTACCTTCTCACTTATATGGCAATTTTCATTTGTCATAGAACCAGAAAGAAGAATATATTTTGTAAAAAAACTAACTTTGCTACACTTAATAAATGTCGTTTATATTTATAAATTGTTTCTATTTTATACCTATGACCTAAGTTATTAAAATTTATAAGTACTTAAGAATTTATAAAGGTTTTGTTCACTACCAAGTTGAGTTTTTTGATAACTCAAAGGTGCTTTGCAGAGAAGTCCATATAACATCACTGAAAATGTAATGGCTACACAGTAATATGGCTGGATTCAGAAAGGCAGGTTGCAACACATTCAGCAATGACAATACAATCATCTTAGATAAAAGCATGTCAAGAGAACCGAGTTGAATTTCCTCTCTCTAGTGTTCAGTTTCACCACCCGTCTGTCAGTTTGTCGTACTGCAGTGGCTTGCATGTGGCTGTGATGCTGGAAGCTGTGCCACCAGTATTTCAAATACCAGCAGGGCCACCCATGGTGAACAGGTTTCAGTGGAGCTTCCAGATAACAACATAGTAGGAAAAAAGGCTTGGTGATCTACTGAAAATTACACGATGAAAACCTTATGGATCACAACAGAACAAACATTGTCTAACTTGCTTGCTTTGGACACGTCATCAGGAGGGATCAATTGCTAAAGGAGGACATCATGTTTGGTGAAGCAGAGGGCCAGAGGGAAACTCTTGAGGTGGACTAGCACATAGCCACAATGATGGACTCAGACAAGCTTCAAGGATGCCACAGGGTTGGGCAACGTCTCCTTCTGTTGTACATCAGGTCACCATGGGTTGGAATCAACTCAATGGCAACTATCTATCTATCTGTATCTAGTGTTCAGTTAGCTTTGAGCAGCTGAGAAATAAAAGGTGAGGCAACTCAGTAATTTGATCTCCTCAGTATACATACTGTATTTATACTGATTTAACTATAGGCCTTTTGAATAATGTCAATATATTGGAAGAAAATTATATTCTGACTGGTAATGTATCTTGAACTATGGCTATTTCACTTTATCAGCTGAGAGTACTTATCTCGCACAGTTATCACTGCCCTTCATCTGAGGTAAAGGTGCTGTTTTCCAAGTTAAATTTAGTGGTATAGGTGCTGCCAATGATGGAGAAATAAAAAGGAAAGAAAGCAGATATTAGATAATGGTGGATGTATATACCAAGCTGGTGCCTTGACTTCTTTCAACCTGAACTGGCATGATGTGGTTGAGAATAGAGAGCTGGTCTCTGGCATCCTCCAGAACTGCAGTGATTCTCAGCACATCTAGAAGGGAGAGTGGTGGCTCTCCGCATTCCGGGATGATTTCCATTCCTGTAACTCGGGCTGTTTCTTCATCTCCTTCTATCGTTCCAGGTGGCTCACCTGTCACTGACACCATCACCTCAGAATTCCAAACTTTTGGAGAAAGGTTAGAGGCTTTCAGCTGGTCTCTAAGGAAAGAATAAAGAAAAAAACCATCAATGCTTAAGTATTACTTAAACTCAGAAGCATAGCTAGCAAGTAGATTGGCTTCTGTGAAGTCCAAATTGTCATATAATACAACCTAGAAGAAAAATAGAAGTGATTCTGCTAAATACTTTCCAATGATATTTTGACCAATCAAAGGCAAGCAACTTACTGTTAAATAAAGATATGTAGCCCATGCTATCTGGCCATCCTTAACTAATTTGAATTGGAGGCAAAATTAACCTTTTTTTCTAGCAGCATCTTCCAATATTAACCAAAAGTGTCTCACAGTTAGTGAAAAACATAAAATGGTAGCCAGCTCCAAGGTGGCCCAAACAATTATCACTTCCTAGTATTCCTGCCCTTGTGTAGTCTGCCCCACGTTGAATAGGACTATGTTAACCTAGGTAACCAATATAAATCTCTGGGTGGTGCAAACGGTTAACACGCTTGACTGCTAACTGAAGGGATGGAGGCTCAAGTCTACCCAGAGGTGGCTTGGAAGAAAGGCCTGGCAATCTACTTCCAAAAAATCAGCCATTGCAAACTCTATGGAGCATAGCTGTACTCTGACACACACGGGGTTGCCTATAATAGGCTATTGTGGAAATGACAGAGTGTGACTTCCAAGGCTAGGTAATAAGACATTGCAGCTTCCACTTTACTCTCTCTTGGATCTCTCATTCTGGTGGAAGCCAGCTGCCTTGTCATGAGGAAGCTCAAGGGGTCCAGTAGGGTAAGCAACAAAGCCTCTTGCCAACAGCCAGCATCAACTTGCCAACTCTGGAAAGAAACCATCTTCAAATAGGATCATCCATCCCCAGCCAACTCTTCAGATGCTTGTCGCCTTGGCCAGCTTCAACCTTATGAGAGACCCCAAGACAGAACCATGCAGCTAAACTGCTCAAAAATTCCTGACCCACAGAAACTGTGAAATAACAAGCGTTTATGTTTTATGCCACTAAGTTTTAGGGTAATTTGTTACACAGCAGTAGATAACTAATGCACAGAAACTTAACAAAAGGCATAATGTTTAAATATATACAAAATAAATTGGGATTCTGAACATACTTATCCATTCTTGTTGAACTAGTCTTGTCGCCCTCCATGGTACATTTATAATCTCATAAAAATGCAGCCACCTAAAACGGGAAGGAAAAATTGAGATCAGCTTAAGGGGGTGTTGAACGATGCTTCAGAAATTTCTATGCCTTGCCTTGTCATTAAGAGAAAATTAAAGAATTATAAAACCTGTGCTGTACCCACTTTTTGCTTAGTAGAGCAGTCCCAGAAATGAAAGAACCATCGATACCATTTCGTGCTGGTCTCTTAAGTAGACAGTTTAACTAGTGGCCTGGCAAGGCTGAATATAATCGAACTCTTAGAGCCTCTCATTTCAGTAAATTAATGTTCAGTATGTTCCCAGTGTCTTTTATTGTATTCTGATTTTTTCCATTGGTGATGTCTGTGTAACAGATTTTTTCCTATTATTATGATTACTAGAATATTTAATTAGATCATTCCATTCCTCTAATCTGCCAGATAACAGAATTTATTACTTCTAAAGTTTGAAGAGCATTCTGGCTGTACAGAATGCTCCTTAGAAGGATGGCAAGACTTTGTCTTAAGTCCTTTGGACATGTTATAAGGAGGGTCCAGTCCCTGGAGAAGGACATCATGTGTGGTAAAGTAGAGGGTCAGTGAGAAAGAGGAAGACCCTTAATGAGACGGATTGACACAGCGGCTGTAACAATGGGCTCGAGCATAACAATGATTGTGAGGATGGCGCAGGATGGGGCAGTGTTTCATTCTGTTGAGCATCGGGTCGCTACGAGTCAGAACCGACTCCATGGCACCTAACAACAACAAAGTTAGAAGAACAGTTAGAAGAACAATCAAGATTGCACTTTTAAAAATTGAAATTATCCTGGAAATCAGTTTAATATATTGCTATTAAGATGGTACCCCCTTAGGTAAATTACTTTAGTAATTAATGTGCTTGAATGAGGTTTACAGTGAACATACCTTATAAAGAACTGTGCTCTAGACTGAACAGTAAATGCTGTTTTCAGTGTGACTTTGTCCACAATAAATTGACCCTGGGGTGGGGGGTGATACAAATATGTCTCACCCAATAAAAATCTTATATAGAAAACTTCAATTATATAAAACAGAATCTTTATATAAACTGACAAAAGATACTCCAAAAGAGCCAACTGTTCTGGAGGAGGGGCGGTTCTAGGAAGAGGCAGCATGGTGTTAAGCATAATTCTGTTCTGTGGTTGCGCTGTTTGTTTTTTTCATTTTTTAGGCTTGAGGCATAGGTAAACTGTGCTTTGTGTAGATAAGATATGGCTGTGCTTATGCAGAATGTACACACACATACACCCATTTAGTTACTATGTGTGATACATTCTGATATTTTCTATCATTTTTTTAAATTTACTTTATTTAGTGAAAATATATGCAGCAAAGGATATACCATTTCAACAATTCTACATGTTCAATTCAGTGATATTGTTTACTGTCTTCAAGTTGTATAATTGTTCTCATTATCCTCTTCCAAATTACTCCACCACCATTAACATAAACTCACTGCTCCCTAAGCTTCTCATCTAACCTTTCGAGATGCTGTTGTCAATTTGAGCCCACGTAGATAAATCTTTGAAAGAGCGCAACACTCAAGGCAGACATGCTTTACTAATTAAGCTAAACTATGGTTTGATTCAAAGCAGACTTCAGGGGAAAGTTTTGGTTTGAGGTCTAAGGTTTAGATTATCTCAGGGCAACAGCTTTGGGCGTTCATCCAGCTTCAATGGCACCAGGTCTGGACTCTATTGTATTCTATCATATTTTGTTTAAATGAATGTTCTGCTTACGATTTACTAATGGATCATTACTTGCATTTTGAAAAATGCCTTCAATGACACCTCCCCAAGTAGCCTTCCCCTGACATACCAGGCTGGATCAGGATTCCTCTGTTCAAGCACTCGCAAAACTCTTATTTTCCTGCAGAGCCCTCCTCACAATTTGTAATGTTTATGTCAGTTTCCCCCATCAGACCGTATGTTCCATGAGAGCAGGAAATGTGACAGTAATGGTCACTACTGTATCCTCACTGCACTGTGCTCAGTACATAAGTATTTGTGGAATGAATGAATGAATGAACAAATAAATGAAACTCACACTTAATGTGTTATTCCTCCCAGGAGTACTTACATTTGGAAATTCGAGGAATTAAATTTCTTGGACAGAGAAAATTGATGGGAGAAGGAGGTACAGAAACACTATCCTGATGTATTTAAGAGAGAATCTGATTTTATATATACAACCACTTTATAAAACCTTGGAGTCATTCTTTACTCTTCTCCCTCTCACTCCTGATCCATCATCAAATCCTGTCAGTTTTACATTTAAAATACATTCCGAATTCCAATACCCATCATCCCTGTCTACACACCATCATCTTCCAACAGGGATCATTACAATAGCCTCCTAATCTCCTTGCTGGTGCCCTTGCCTCCCTTAAGACAGTCACTCCTCTGTACGAAAGCTGCAGTGGTTAAGAGTTCCGCTGCTAACTGAAAGGTCGGCGGTTTGAACCTACCAGATGCGCCCCGGGAGAAAGATGTGGCAGTCGGCTTCCATAAAGATTACAGCCTTGAAAACCCTATGAGACAGTTCCACTCTGTCCGATAGGATCGCTATGAGTCGGAATGGACTCCAGGGCAACCGATTTTGTTTGTTTTCTGTACGGAAACCTCAAATGGCTTCCCATCTCAGAGTAAAAGCCTTCTTTACACTGGCTACCTTTTTTTTCTTCTCCATATAAGTTAACACTACCTAATGTGCCATATATTTTACTTGCTTTATTGTCTGGCTCCCCCTACTAGGATGTAAGCTCCACGAGGGCAGTGATTTTTGTTTTCGTTTGTTTACAAAAGTATCCTCAGCGTCTAAAACAATGCTCGGCATATGGTTGTCATTCAGTAAAATATTTACTGAATAAAATCCACAGGGCAACCCAAATAAACGCGCAATAATTAGGAAACGTAAATCTCTGACGTTCACTAACCCATCTCTTTCTAGTCTACAAGTATTTACCGAGGGCCTTTTACGTGTGGACATGGTGCTGGGCACCCTCAGTTTCAGTCTGACAGATGAATGGGTTCTCCTAAAAAGGTGATAGGTCTTCTCAGGGCAGTCCTCCTCACCGTCGGGGTCAAAGCGAAGGATGGAGGAAAGAATTTAAGTCATTTCTTGAAGGTATAAAGGACTAGAGAGGAGTAAGGAGGAAGAAAAAATAGGGAAAGGAACGACTCCTGCCTTCGCGCTCCCGGCCTTTCTTTTCCAGGCTAGGGTAGGATCCGAAAGTGAGTCTCCGTCCGCCTACTCCTGTGTGGTGGAAAGGAAAGATACTCCCATGTTCGCGAACCAACTCTAAGGGTCCAAGGCGGGGACAAGTCCCTTACTTCGGCCTCTACCTTTCCACCTACAGCACCCTAGGAATACGAAGCCGGTACCAAGCAAAGGTGTTTCTATGGCAACGCACAGCTTGGGGGACCTTTCAGTCTCCGCCTTTAGCTGGCTACCACTTTGACTTCCCCTGTTCCCAAATAATGCATGTTGCAGCTTATAAAGATGAAAGGACTTTGGTGAAGAATTGTAAGAGTGCTCTTGGATGTGACTTGTTTCAGTCAGAAGACGATTCCTGAAGCTTGTTTTTCTGGCGGTCGCGGAAGATGCCTAAATTGGGGGGCGGGGCAGAGAGGTGTTTATCCCACAAGGCAACGCGGCAGGTCTCAGATTTTCTTTTTCCGCCATCTTGGAGCCTGTGGAGGTGAGTGGAACTTCAGCAGCTGAAGTTTGGGTGTTAAATAACTTGGGTGGGCTCATCCGTACGCCTCGCGAGGCACCGGGGCAGCTCGGGGGCCCTGCCAGCCAGTGGTTTCTAAGCATTCCAGCAAGAGGGAGGACAGGATGGCAGAGATGCGGGGTTGATGGTGCTGGTTCCCTGACGTCTGGAGAACGGGTGCTCCCATAATCGGAGTTGATTCCTGACCAAAGCATAGTGCAGTAGGTGCACTTCGTTTGTTTATAGGTGCCGGTTTAAGGCAGTGGCTCCATTAGGTTGGGTTCAAGTCCGTTTTCTGTACACTTTTCTGCCTAGATAAACCCTCCTTGATAAGTCGTTTTTCCTGAATTTTTGTTTGCCGATCATGGCATGATTTTTCCCGGGGCTTCCTATTAGAATTTCTAGGAGATATTTCGTCAAGTGTATATTTTTGCCACCTTCGTTTTTCTTAATAGGAGCCCTGGTGGCGCAGTGGTTAAGCGCTTGGCTGCTAACCGAGAGGTTGGCAGTTCGAACCCGCCAGCCACTCGACGGGAGTAAGATGTGGCGGTTAGCTTCTGTAAAGATTACAGCCTTGGAAACCCTGTGGGACAGTTCTGCTGTGTCCTGTAGGGTCGCTAGGAGTCAGAATCGACTCGACGACAGTGGGTTTGGTTTTTTTTATTTCGTGAAGTGTATATTTGTGCCACCTTCGTTTTTCTTTGACTTCTGCATTTTTTCTCTTCACTTTGGAGTTTGCTTAGATAGCAAACGCTTTCTGTGAGGTTTGGCTGCCTTGACAGACTTTTTAATGTTTTCCCATACATGTCAAACAAAAAGGAATTTGTCTAACATGCTTAAGAAACGAGAGGGAACTTGGTGGGAAAGTTGCGTTGCAAGGTTGTGAACTGAGTCTTTTTTGTTTAAGGCCTGCTGGGAACAGGACTTCTAAACCGACAAATATGTCTGGAAGGTATGAGCTTTAAATATAATTGCTTTTGTATTTGTAGTCTTTTGTTTATTAGAAGTGAATCTAAATATGAGTTTAAACAGACCAGAAAAATTAGGTATTTGCTTAGATGACTTGAGTGGGTGGGTGGGGTGTCAAATTATACTGGTGGTTTGTTGAGGTTTAACAATACCTTTTAACAGCTTACGGTTAATGTTATATATTTTGTGTATCTTAGGCTCTGGTCCAAGGCCATTTTTGCTGGCTATAAACGGGGTCTCCGGAACCAGAGGGAGCACACAGCTCTTCTGAAAATTGAAGGT